TCAGTTTGTGCCCATTGCCCCTTGTCCTGGCGCTGGGCACCACTGAAAAGAGCTTGGCCCCATCCTCCTGACACCCACCCTTCAGATATTTATAAGCATTTATTAGGTCCCCTCGCAGTCTTCTCTTCTTCAGGCTGAACAAGCCCAGTTCCCTCAGCCTCTCCTCGTAGGAGAGATGCTCCAGTCCCCTCACCATCCTTGTAGCCCTCCGCTGGACTCTCTCCAGTAGCTCTTCATCTTTCTTCAACTGGGGAGCCCAGAACTAGTAAGTAGAGAGGCATTTCTGGAGCATGATTCTTCTGAACTATTTAAAATGTCTGCATTAGGATGGCTTGAGTTTCAGCAAATTTAACTGATTTGCTGAAAGTTGGATCAAAGCACCTGATTCTGGGCAATCGGAACCAACAGCCATCTCAGGATTGTTGGCATTTGGGACGGCTGGTTTCACTGTGTGAACTCTTTCCTCTTTTGATGGCCTCTAGGGGCTTAGTCCACTGTGTGAGATGCTGCGAAAACACACAGCAGCTGACAGCTGCTTCCCAAGAGAAGGGGAGAGCTCACATCATGAGGGAGGAGTGGTAACAGAGGGCAAGGCAAGCACGTAAATAGGAAGATCATCCCTGCCCAGATGCAGTGATAAAAAGTAAGGCAAATAAACCATTTATTTCCCTTTCTTTTTGAACAAGGTCTGTCTTACAGGCTTGTCTGCTGTGTGATTTCAGATCAGTTGAAAATTCAGGTTTCTCATAATTTACGGCGGTGTACATTTGTATCTCACTTTAATGTGTCCCCACTTTGGAAGGAGATATTTTCTGCTGAAAGGTCTTCATGAACCTATCAACCTGTAGTCAATTTAAAGCCTTTAAATGCACTTATTAATACTTAGGCTTTGGAGATAGGCTTCCTGAGAGATTTAAAACCACTTACAGCGAGACTACTTAGTCGAAGGCAGATTTTTTTAAATGTCTTTCCGAGCCATCAACAATTCAAACACTCTTGAAAGTTTCTCTGGAGAAGTACCGTGCATCAGCAGGCAGTGGTGGGACTTTGATCAGGCAGTGGCACAAAGCACATTCATCATGGTACGTTAGACCACTTGTTTTCCTATTAAGTTTTTGAGAGAAGACTACTGCTTAATTGCTGCCAGTGCTTTGGCAGCACCAGTATTAATGTGCCATTTGCATCCAGGGGTGACAGAAGCGAATCAGGCACGCTGACTGCGTGGAGCCATTCAGTGGCACTGCTGCTCTGACGGCTGGGTCCCATGCCCCTGCCCTGTGGCAGCTGACCAGGTACGGTGTAGCCATGGCTGTAGTGTTCGTCATCAGTGTTTCTTATTTCACCGTGCTCAGTCTGAAGGATAATAGATCAGCAACGTGAAGGGGAATTGTGGCCCCGGGTAACATCAACTGGAGTCCAGGAAATTCCTTCTGTGTCTCCAGCAGGTACCATGTCAGGACTTCCACTGCGCTGAGCAGCCTTCTCCGAGCGGTCCCTGCCTTGAGCAGGGTGTCACACTTGGTGCTGTGCAAAGATCCCTTCCAGTTTACATTATTCTGTGCATCTATGCAGAGATACGGTGATAACTGGTTGCCACAGGCAGGAGCTCTCTGTTAGTAGAGACAGAAGCGTGTTTATCCTGAGCTATTTCTGTGTGAGTTCAGGAGAGAGTTACAAGGTATTAATATTTCCTCAGTATATAATCAGCACTGCTAACATCTCTCACCATAAACATCATCACCTCCACAATCTTAAAATGGAGAAAATCAGGCATTTGTGACGTTATCTAATCTGCTTTCCTTCTTCCTGGCTTACAACACTCGCCCTCGCCTATAAGCTCTACAAATCAGAAAGTCTGACCAGTGACTGAGGAGTTGCACAAACGGCTGGATTTACAGAGGCGGCTCAGGCAGAGACTGCTTCTTGGATGGATGAAACGACTTACAAAGAATCTTGATCACATTTAGTAACTTTGAAGGGGTCT